CAATGTTACACACCCTATTAGAGACCTGAAGGACCAGATACCCTATAGAATCCATTCTATCACCCCTTTAAATAAAGAATAGAATTATCTAGATTTAGATTTTTTCCAATGAGCTTTCTGATCCAGATTCCTCCTAATAATCTGTTCTTCTTCGTTTGTGTCTTCAGGTCCAGTTGGAGCGAATACGACAGGCGGAGTCTTTGGATCGGATCAAAGTTATCCTGAACGACACCAACCTGACCGACATCAATCAACTTCCAGATACATGATAGCTCCAGAACGAAGACTGGCTTTAGTTTCATTCTGTCCCTCCACCACCACCGGCCCGCTAACATTATTATCTGACCCCCCCCAGCCCCCCTCCCCTAACCACACTGGAAGGACAAGAATCGGCGGATATCCTGTGGACATTTCAAAGCCTTTTTGGGTAGAATAATGAAGAAGAACACTACTACAACATGTAAATAACTAAATGTGTGACTGTGAGTCGAGGGGGTGGAAGCCCCTCTCCCTGTGGGGGGGGTCTGCCTGTGTCATGTTTCTACTGTAGATACGACTGTGTGTATTAGCTCAACCAAAAACAAGGGTTTGTCATCCTCCAATGCACTTTCCATCTTTCCGTCTCCCTCTCCGCTCAAAGCGTTTGATAATCGCTTCTTTAATCCGCTCACTCGTCATTCTCTCGTCTTTTTCTGTCCCGCCGCACCTCGACAAATTATGAAGGATGAGAAATACTTGCACATACTCTAACTGGGACAAGACCATCAGAACGCAAGCAATAGCTTCCACTTTAACGGCGGTTTTGCCGCATTTATCGTCTAAATTAAATGTTTTTCCTTTAATAGTTGCCCTATTCAGATCTGTCAGGGTTTTTTTTTCTTCCAGAAACACTATTTAACTCCAGGAACAAAGAAGAAGAAGACAACGGGTCAAGATTAACGAAGAAATGGGAAGGAATGGATTAGAATTTGCTTCTGTTGTGATTTCCTTTTTTTTTCAGATAAGTATTGAACTGATGATCTTAATGTCTTTTTGAAGATCTTAAATGTTAGTCGGGAGCTTTTAGGCACCCAAAGGAAGTGGATTGTTAACGAGCTGCGCCCCCCCACCCCCCTCTCAGCTGCTTGTCTTTAGTAAACTATCATAAAATGGTCCGTCTGTCACTACAAGAACTTCTGTTGTCTGTAAACTGATTTGAATTAAATGACCTCAAAAGTTTGAGTGCATAATTTTCTGTTTGGAATGTAGATTTAGACAACTTTTATTGTCATTTCATATACATGGTGTATACAAACGGAATTTCATTTTGTGCAGCTTTCAGACAGTAAATGAACATTTCCATTCCATAAAGTGCAGCATTGATCAAATGTAAACAGTGTGGAAGAAAAAAATGTGCAAAAATACACGTTTATATGGAAGTTTGCAGCATTTAAAGACAAATATATATGGTGCAAATATGCACTTTGATAACTTAGCTACCCCAAACATAAATCGTCTTATTTCAATTCAATTCAGTTTATTTCTATAGCGCCAATTCACATCATGTCATCTCAAGGCACTTTCCAGTTCACCCAGATCATCCAGTCAGATTGATTCAAAGTTTTCTGTCTAAGGAAAACCAGCTGATTGCATCGACTCATTGACTCTTCAGCAATCCCTCACACTAAGCATGCTTGTAGCGACAGTG